CTTGGATTTTGAAAATGGGTTTTGGTTTAAAATATGAATGGAGCTTGATTTGGGTTTGATTTTGGGGTTTGCGTTTACATTGGGTTTGATTTTGAATCGAGAGTTTGGAGCCGAGCATCATAAGCAGAAATTACAAGCAAGCAGTAAGCGATCGATGATGAAATTGGAATGAAATTTGATCAACGGAATTGACCATTTCAGTTCCATCAGATTCCAGCGAATTCCAATGAATCAAGTAAATCAATAATTTTCTTCTTTTAATACTGAGTTTTAGAAGAAACAAAAAATTGGAAAATTTGTAGTTTCTTTATAATTTTTCTAAAATATAATATTTAAAATACACAAAAAAAAAAAATCCAAAAAGTTATATCAAACTACAACAATTGCTCTGCTTCAGCAATTCTAATATCAATTACAGTAACAGAATATTTTATAAACTGATCACCCCGATACACTTTTAAAAAACTATAACAATTCGATATCATTGGTCGAAACAACTAAATAATACATCTCTTTCTTCCCCTCCCTATTTTGGTGTCAAACATTACGATGGATGATTAAATCTGATGGTATTAAGTCATAAATGAGTCAATATTTACTGAAAAATGGATATTTGTGTAGCGTTTGATTATCTTAATTTAATGGTTGTGCAATTATTTTAAATGTTGTAATTTAGTACTAATTTTAACTGTAAATGATATTTTTGAATCGAGCCATAATAACTTGGGGGTTTCTTGTTTACCTCTTAATAGTTCCATTAAAATGCAGTCCCTGAATAATTAAGAAGTGAATCTTGTTTGGTAAAAAAAAAAGTTGTCTCTCAATGGTTCTAAAACTCTTTGAATAGTTTTGTATCATGAGTCTCCATTAACCATTCAGTGCTCTAATTCCATTGTAAACAATTATATTTCATTTTGCACTATATTATGATAGTCTCTCAATCATTATGTACCAAACCATTCAACAATTGTTAGACAACTCCGTTAGATCTTTAATTTTGGTTTAGATAGCCATGTATCTGGATCATGCAATTAGTTGGTTCATATTTTTTCTACTAATCGAACCGAACCGAACCGAACCGAACCATGAAGAGTCCTCAAAATAAATGATTTGTAATTTGTGAAACGTAGGGACAAAAACCAATGATGTAATTATTCAATAATTAAAAGGGGTTTAAAACTATAATTTGCTAAATTATTTGTACATTAATTTATTTAATTATATGTGTTAATTGGTAGATGTTGACAACTCTATCAAGATTCTTTAGATATAACGTGATGCCCTCTGAATTTGACTTTTACAAATCCAATTAACATCAAGATTCTATTTATTTTTATATTTTGTATTCTAACCAATTGAATATTCTCTACCACATCATGTATTATATATATATATATATATATATATAGGGGCCTAATCAAATGAGAACTAATTAGTTTGTGGTAACTATGAGAACCAATATTAACTACAAATCAATAGATAAATTAAGAAATTTATAATTTTGGCAATTTTGAATTAAAATATTAATGTAAAGATATTTTTGGTATTTTAAAACTTTCCTCCCTCCTCTCTTCTCTCT